ATGAAAGCCTTGAAGAGAGGCATGCCATGGAGGCTGCCCAGCTCCTGCCTCATCCCATCTTCCTGCTCCATGGCTGACAGCGCGTCCACACAGCACTGGCTGTYTTCCCTGCTGGCACCCTCTGCAACCCAAGGCTGGGTCCTGTGGCAGGACTGTGYCCAGRGCAGAGCCTCATCAGGCAAAGTCCAGCCCAGATCACACGTGGCAGAGGTAYTGCCAGTGCCATAGGGGCATGCCCTGGTCCTTGGCAGGATGCCACTCTGATAACGTGGATGCAGGCCATGCACTAATCCCAAGCCACGAGAGGTTGGGAATGGAGCCCAGCATCACCTCTCCTTCCATTTTCTTSACTTCTCCCCCAGCTACAGCCCTTTTAGTGAGTGCCACAGGGTTGTGGAGCTGCAGGGAAGGCTCTGACACTCAGGGCCCCTGTCASTGGTGCAGCCATACCTGTCAGGGCTCCGTGTGCTCTGGTGCCCAGGAGCCCTGGCATCACCGCCCTCCTGCCACGCCCAAGCTGTAATGGTTAACGAAAGCCAGCTCAGTTATGGAGCATGGAGGACGTGAAGGAGGTTCAAAGTGCCAGCAGTTGGGGCCTGGGATGGTTTTGCGGTGGGCTCTGCCTCTCTCCCCACATYGCCCTGTTGTATACATGCAGATTACAGTTGGTTTTCAGCAACAGTTAATTGCTAACACCATTGGAACACTCCAATTTAATGTCTCTTTGGCTCTGGGTTGTATTCAAGCCCAGCTGTGGGTGCAGTATATGACAGCTGCTACTGCATGGGAAGCTGAAAATGCTGCATTTGCTGCTGAGATTTGGTGCTCCCTTCCCATTAAGGCTGGGATGCCACAGTGGGCACCATCACCCCCACACCTCCAGCACACAGTGAGAACCCCCATAATGGCTAAAGCGCAGTCAGTGCCCAGCACCCCTCTTCAGGTGCGCCAGGTTTACAGGTGCAGTTAAGAGGGGAAGYACTTCGAGGTCTGGCCCTGTGACAGCTCCTCTCCAGGGCCTGGCAGTGCCCAGCCTGTTCCCGGCACACTGGCGGAAGAGTCCTGCATGCCAGATCCTTTCTCCCAGCACCCAGAAACTGCAAAGGTAGGGCTCTGCTCCCCACTGCACCCTGCAGAGCTGGGTAGGTGCCAGTTCCTGTCCCCTCCCAGGGTGTCACATGGGTCCCCTGGCCCTAAGCAGAGCTCACCCTGCTGTGCCAGGCACATGGCCACATCCTGCCTCACTGCCTGTTTATTTAAGCCCCCACACAGAGACCCCAATGCTGCGGGGTTGGTTGCACACCCCTGGTTTCCCTGTGTCCCCTAGTGAGGTCCCATCCCAGAGCCATAGGCGGGGACGCCCTGCCTGCCCCACAATGCCCAGCCAGGGTAACCCAGGGTCACTCTTTTAGGTCCMTTCATGTCCACACAGAGCCTCCACTTGCTGTCACATGCACATGGACTGGTGCAGTAATGTGGTGCAGGAAAATGGCACAGGAACATGGCACTGTCCCAGCTCCAGGTGGATTTATGGGGMGGCTATTAACTCTCTCATGACAGCATCAGGGGATAAATGGATCAAACCCCTGCTCTTAGCTGGCACATTSCTCGTTATTCCGGAGCTACTTTTCTCATCCATTCCGGTAGGGCTTGGAGACCATCTCAGATCCCTCCCTTGTCTCTCATCCCCAAAAAGTATCTGGGTGTGGTGGGCAGGAATGTCATGTGTAGCTCAGCGGGACACTTTGATGCCCAGCTCCCGGTCCATCGCCTGRAGGAAATGTTCATTGAGGAAAAGCATCTGCCCATGGGGCAGGAGACGATCCAGGAGGCCATCGGCAGCATCAGGACGGAGCAAAACATCAGCCCCAGGGCCGAGGAGGCGCAGGGACAGGAGCAGGCGGGGAGCCAGGCGCCGCAGGGTGATCTCAGCCAATGATAGATTCTCTTGGGGTTCACAAACCAAGGCGAAGGCGAGGGTCAGCACTGATAACCAGACTACTGTCACCYGCTCAGGGAATGGGTCTCCGGGGGCCATCTGGAAAAGACCCCCTGGGGCATCTTGGAGTGACATCGGCTCATCAGGGAGCTGGGGGATTTGTGGGGAGGCTGGGCGTCCCAAGGATGAGTGAAGCAGCTGGCACTGGGAGGCCACTTGCCTGGAAGAGAAGCAGGGGGACCCTCATGTTAAGAACTCCCACCTCATCCAGGGACAGAGTGACCCCTCTAYTGGGGGGACAGTGTCCCAGTGGTTCTCCGAGCCCAGCACCCCCAGAAAGGGTGAAGCATGGGGGTGAATGGGGGAAGCATGGTCCTGAGCCTTCTCACTGAGCCCCACTCCCCCAAAAGGGAACTGCCACAGTCCCACCGAGCCCAGACTCCCCTCAGGAATGCAAGGTGTCCCACAGCAAAGGGGAGTCCCAGCCCTAGGTACCCGGCAAAGCACAGGAGCCCTCCCATCAAAAAAAGGGTGTATCACGGCTGTGCGGATCCCAGGGAGAAGGATGGGCTGTCACAAGTCGAGGGGGTTCAGGAGACGGAGGGCACACGGTGCCGGTGTCCCAYCGAGCCCAGTATCCCCAGAAAGGGGCTCCCGCGGATGGCGATGTCGCGGGTACCTGGCCACGACCAGCAGCTGCTCCTTGCGGCGAAGGCGCTGCCGGGGCCCCCCGGGGGCGGTSTCGGGGGGGGTCCCGAAGGTGCGCGCGTACAGCACGCGGCAGGGGGTGTGGCCGGCGGGCCCGCCCGGCGCCAGCAGCACGAAGGCCCGGACCATGGCCACGCCACGGTACCGGCCACGGCCACGCCACGCCACGCCACGCCACGGCCACGCCACAACACCGGCCACGGCCACGCCACGCCACAACACCGGCCACGGCCACGCCACGCCACAACACCGGCCACGGCCACGCCACAACACCGGCCACGGCCACGGCGCGCCGGAAGCGACGGCGGCGCTCAGGGAAGGGGCGGCCCCCGGTGGGCGGTGGGAGGGGCGGGGGCGCCCGCCCCTGCAGGCGGCGGCTCACGATTGGCCAAGGCTSGGGACAGCGAGAGCTGATTGGCGGAGAAAGCCCGGTGGGCGGGGTCCTGGGCTGAAGCGAAGGCGTCTCTCGGGTATCGCTGAGGGACCCGTGGCGACCCCTCCTCAGCTGTCCCTGCTCCTCTTCCTGCTCCATTTTTCCCTCCCCGTGTTGCTCCTGTGGGTGCGGCCACGATGCCCCGACTCCGAGAGCTGCCGGCAGCGGGAGCTTAGAGCCCCCGCGGGGCCGCGCTGCTGCCACCCAGCGCGGGGACAGCGCTCAGCGGGCCAGTGCTCATCCCCGCCACAGCCCCGCTGCCTCTGGGTGAGCTCTCAGCCCCCCAGGGAAGCTCCCATCGCCCCAGCCCTCTCCTCTCCCGACCGCTCTCCCTGTTCCCAAGCCCCCACACTCGCACAGCCGCCGCTGTCTTGTGGTGCAGTCACAGGTGAGCCGGGGTTGTTCTCCGTTCCGGAGTTACATTGACACAGTGTGAAAAACACTTCCCACCCTCCCCGGCTCAGAGTGCCCAATCCCTGGCTACGGGGTTGGTGTGAAAGCCCTCCTGTCCCCAGCATAAATCACAGCTGGCTTAGAGCAGGACAAAATACTTTAACTAAAACAGAGGGGTCCTTCATATGGCGATCCTGGTACTTGTACAGTGGGAATGCAGCACGAGCTCTGTGGCTCAAAGGGGCAGCACAGCAGTTTTGAGATCTAAGTGTGGGAGGGATTGTGTCTCTCGACATGGGGTGGACACGGCTGGGAGAGGACATGGGGATAAATGTGGCTTGAGGTGGCTCAGGGCAGCCTGGCTAGGGTCAGCATGGAAAGGTGGTTCTCTCATGTGGGGCATATGGAGGAGTGCATCGCTGGCACAGGGGACATGGAGGGTCCCATGGAGAGGGGGCATGGAGAGGGACATGGTTGGGTGGAGACATTAGACTATTCCATAAGACCTTTCCAGCCATGGAAAACTTGTTTTCTGCCTCAAGAGGCTTCAGTGCAAAGCTATTTCTTTGACAAAATCTTCACGGATGTGGCTGGGGATGGTTTGGGGATGGGGGTGGGAGGGAGTAAGGGTCTTTCTGCTGTGTACTAGGTGTGTGTAGGGACATCACATCCCAGCTATGGTGTCCTTATGCAACCTACAGTGTCCATGTTTCAGCTATGGTGTCCATCCCAGGCATGGTGTCTGAAAGGAGTGAGATGAATGTGTCTTTATAAACAGACCATGTCAATCTGATTGTAGATAGGGCTAGGAAAGTGGACATAGGGAAGTAACAGAAGAAACTATTCTAAGTTCTAGAAAATGCTACTAATCAACATGGACTGTTGTTCTGCCAAGGCCTTGTTAAATTCTTCAACCTAGAGAAAAAGAACAAGGCTTAAAAGAATTATGAATAGATTTTTTTTTCTTCTCTCTTTGATATAACAAAAGAGTCATCCATATTGAATGGAATGAAAGGGAGTTGTCTACAAACAAGCTGTGGGTCTGCTGGTAGATAAAGCCAGATACTGATAGGTGAAAGAAGCAATGGAAGGAACCATAAATTCCATAGGAATTCCACTGATGGACACAGACTGTTACACACCAAAGGCCTTCCTGAATTCCTGGACTCATAAAAAAAACACAGATACAAAGAAAAAGAAAGGGAGGCAGGATGCACATTATTAGGCCATTTGGGAAGTCTGTACCTCTCAAGTGCCTCAGCCAATGGGGAAAGGGAGAGGGAAATTGGGCCAGAAAAAAAGATAAAAAGGATGCTGCAACCTCTAGCAATTTGAGACACCTCATGGAAAATTGTCCCATGAACTCTTCCTTTATTCATGAATAAATCTACGGGATCCTGTGTCTGCATTTTGGACATAAACCTCTGGAGTTTTTGGTTAATTTTTCTGAGAGTTGCAAAGCACAAGTGCTTCTGGGAAGGGTGTTTAAAGGTGCCGCCGATGGTAAATGCTCCTCCTTATCTGCTTCCCACAGGACATCTCCGAGCCAGGAGCGAATGGAAAGGGCAGGAGAGATGGCAGCTGGGCAGGGCCAGCAGCTCAGCTGTTGGCAGCCTTGAGAGAAAC